CTATATTTAAACTGTCAGTGCACTTTCTTCACGATTTAATTATAAACATAAATAAACAAATAATTGATGCACGAGGAGAATTACTGTGTCTTTTATCAGATAACCATCCCACAAATCGAAGTGTTTACCAAAGTTTCGTTGTTAATAAAAGTTTTCCATGGCAAGGTGTTACAGAAAAAGAAAAACGAGTTATTATGCTACACGATCCAGTTCACTTGTTTAAAAGTATAAGAAATAATTGGTTTACGGAAAAAACTCAAAGAATTAGTTTAAAAATTAATATTCAAACCACTCTCTGGTGATTGGTCTCACATTGTTCAATTATGTAACAGACAAAAAATTTGTGTTGCCAAAACTACAAAGCTTTCACGCAAATCAGTGTACCCTAGTTTGATTGATAAACAAAATGTTGCAAACATGGTTGCTGTATTTAATGAAAAAACTGTTGCAACATTGAGATTAGCTAATTTTGAAAACACTGCCTGTTTCTTAGCACCAATTGTTTTATTATGGAACATGCTAAATGTAGAGAGGAAGGGTTGTGATGTTTTACTTAATGAAATCAATAGGTCTCCTTTCCAGACACTCGATGGCCTTAGATTTAAAGAAATTTTAGCATTTGCTGATGCAACTTCTAAGATATCAGAGGGAAAGGAATTAAAGGGCCATAATGCTTTTACACCAGAAACAAAACATGCTTTAGTTAACACCCTACAAGGATTGGTAGAATTAATACAAAAACTGCTTTCAGAAGATCACCACTATGTTCTTTCCGATATTTTTCAAACAGATCGTCTTGAAGGTAAATTTGGCATCTACAGGTAAAATTATTTTTGTGTTATTTATAGTAAAGAAAATTTTGTAGATTTGAAAACATAAAAAATATAAAAAACAAATATTTCTCTCATTTATTTAAATGTATTATATTAACATACATAAGTTTAACGATGCGTTTTTATTTGACAATTGCTGTTTTAACTATAATTTAATACTCGGTTCAACTCAATTTATTTGGTTACATCTTTTTTCAATTTTTTTGCTTATTTGTAGACAACTAAGTGGCGGAAATTATTTTATCTTCTATACTTACCAAATTTCCTCCTTTAGAGAGACATGATAAATAAGAATCAAACCAATCAAATCCATAAAAATTTATATTAATCCGTAATTATGTTAATCCGTAATTTATCCGTAATGTTACTCATAATATGACAAAGTTATATCTTTTTGCAATTTTTTTGCGTATTTGTAGACAACTAAGTGGCGGAAATTATTTTATCTCAGGAGAACAAGTATTGAACAGTTTGTATCTTCAGCGGTTAAAATTATTCAGCAAAATAGTTTCTTTGGACGAAACTGACATTTATTGCTCCCGCATACATTCAGACTGTTGCACAATGGATCAAATGGAAGAGGATATTGTTTATTTAGATGAATGTTTAATTAATGCAGACAATGAATCTGTTAATGATCAGGAGAATGCTGCCCTTTTTTATATGCTGGTTATGTACAGCACAAGATCGATCCGCAGCGTGTAGTTGATACAACAACATCACAATTAGCTAGTTTTGAATTTACAGATTATGTTTCACGTGGTAAATTGCGTTATTCTGGTGATACTCTTCTACAGTTTATTTGTGTTTGTTATCTACTGTTTAAAAGCATTCCAATGTCTGAAAAACGTTTTCAATGTGTTGCTTATTTAAAGAAATTATTTTTATTCATGCATTCAACATTTCCATTTGATTTAGAAACAGACAGTATAGGTGTTGCAAAAATCTCAATAATAACTACCTGTTTCTTGAAAGGTGTTACGACCCTTGATAATGCATCTGATATTGTTTCATTAAACAATGAGGACAGAAAAAGAAAGAAACGTAATACTTAGTGGTCTGCAGCCGTATTCACGTCTCTCCGTTAAATTAACGAAGAGTTCAAGTGACCGTTAAGAAAAAAATTGTTAACGAGCCGTTACAAAACGGATGGAGAAAAGTAGTATTCTTGTCCTCCCGTTAGGTCACCGTTTATTAACTGCTCCGTTAACTTTGTCAGTTAAATTTCTTCCGTTAGCCCGCTTCGTTAGCTAACTTTCGTGCTGTTTTTTGCATAGCATCCAAATGTTACAAAGCCAACTGGCACATAGTATTGTTTAGATGGTACATCACAGCGTAATTTTTTTAATTGTTTGCTGCGTAATTTTTTAAACTTAATTTAAACAAGTTAAAGTAATAAGCCGTTTTAGGACTTGTACTAAGTACTAATAACCGTTTTAGACTTGTACTAAGTACTAATTTTTTTTATTTTTAAATTAAACTTTTTATATTTTTAGAGATAAAAAAAATATAAACACCATCAAAAAAATTGAATTGAAGCTACATAAAACTATGAAGTGGAGTTACTCTATACAACTCTATCGCTCTATCACAAAATAACAACAAATACAAAATTAATAAACCATTTATTATTATAAAAAAGGAATTTGAAAATGAGTAAATTTATTTAGATAAAATTTGTTCAAAAATGTTGCAAAGCAAAATCATCACGAAATTGGAAATTGTTTTCAGCTACTATATCTTCATTATCATTTTCATCATTTTCGATTGGATTTTCATCCATGTCTCCGTCATTTAACTGTATTGCTAAATTGTGCAATACTGCGCACGCAGCAACTAAGGTACAGGTTCTTTCAGGGGTCATTCGAATTTCACCATGAAGCAAATGAAAGCGTCTTTTCCACCTTCCAAACACTTGTTCAATTATAACTCTTGTTTTTCTTAAAGAAATACTATATCTATGCTGAGATGCTGTAGTTGGATTTAAATAGGGCGTCAGCAACCAACGAAAACATGGATAGCCGGAATCACCAATAAGTAAGCCTTTAAAAGTTCCATCCATAAATTTCTTACCAAGTTTTGACTCTCTTAAAATCCTTGCATCATGTGTGCTCCCAGGCCATTTTGCAACAACATCAATGAACTTTCCTTTGTTGTCACACACCGCTTGGACATTGATTGAATGATTTGATGAGCTATCAACATAAGCATATTCATGCTCGTGTGGTTTCTGTATGCAAATATGCGTGCAATCTATTACGCCAGTTACTTGTGGAAATTCTGCAGATTCATAAAATTCCACTCTGCTCTCGTTTAAAACGTGTTGATTTGTTGGGTATTTGATGTATTCATTAACTCGTTTTGCTAGACTTAAAGAAACTCGACGAATGATTCTTGAAATAGTCGGTTGACTTAAAGCTGCTGTAGAGTCATCAACCACAATTTGAAAAGATCCTGTTGCATAAAATCGAAGTTCACATAACAATTGCAAAATAGGTGACACAATTAAAGTTTGGTTTGACTTTGGCTGTAAATCTATTTGCAGCAAATCTGTCAAATAGAAAATAGATGCTCTACGAAACCTAAACCTTTTATATAAGTCTATGTCATCATAAATATTGAGTGGGTTAATTCGGTCTCTGAATATTCTTTCTCGTCTGAGAGCTCTTTCGACAGCAATTTCTTGACATCTAACTTCTGCAAAAACCAGTTGCATATGTATGAATCGGGGCATTATGAAATATGCTTACCTTACGATGAAACAATATTGAAAACTCTTTATTCTATATGTTTAATGTTAATGCTTTTAGTTTTACTTCAT